TGGTTAGAATGCAGTATTGCAGGCTTACTCTGCCTATTGCCAGCAGTTCAATCCTGACCAGCTCAAGGTTGACTCAGCCTTCCGTCCTTCCGAGATGGGTAAAATGACAACCCAGGTTGTTGGGGGTAAGAGGCTGACTCTGTAAACCACTTAGAGAGGGCTGCAAAGCACTGTGAAGTGATATATAAGTCTGAGTGCTATTTACTTAACCATCATGGCCAAAAAGATCATAAAATCCAGCAAGATTAATTTAATAACTGACGTGGTTAGCAATGAATATTCTGTTCCCAACTGTGGTCGTAAATGAAGGATTATCTTTACATTTTAGAAAAGGCCGCTATTAATTCTAATTTTACTTCTCACTTATACAAATTTGGAACAGCAAACTGATGTTATCATAATTTTTAAGATTCAACCATCCTCTGCTTCACCTTTTCCCCTTGCCAATGTTGCGGCTACCTTCTTGCCCCATTGGGCCAGGTCTCAGCTCTTACCCATTGGTCTGAGTGCTGCTGGGTAGATGATGCCCATCTGTGTTTTGTGTCTGTGGTATCATGACGGTGGGTTCCAATGGGGTTGGCGTCGGAGATGTCCTCTTCCTCACTTCTTCCTGCTCGCGCTGCCGATGTTCATTCTCTTCCAGCTGGTGGAGAGAGAGAAACTCATCAAATAATTCATCACCCCTCACAAGAATTCAGTGCTATGAAAGGACACTAAACAAATCCAGAAGGACTTGTTTATGAAATTTATATGCCACCAATCTTGCTGTCCAAAGCAGCTTCTAGAAATCATAAATGGAAATTGATTTCCCAGTCTTGGGAATACTACAATTTTAAGATCAATACATTTGACTTGTAATATAGTCCTGCCTCTTCATGACAGCCCTGTGAATTGCCATCCCCACTTCCCTTTTATCCTTACAAAAAACTGCAAGGAAGATTTGGCAGAGGGAGAAAGGGAGTGACTCCAGATTATGCAGAGAAGTTCATGGATAGGGGATTAGATGAGCAATCTAACCATCGCCATATATTGCTGAAAGGTTTGTAATTTTAAAAAAAAGAATGAAAGGAGCAAGTATTTCAACTGACAATCCATGCACTAGATGAAATAAATTTTGATTCCCAAAACTTTTATTTGAGAATTAGTTTATGAGTGAATTTATTCAGAAATGACACAAGATTCTGTTAGAGTTTGGGAACTGTTTGGGAACTGACCAAGCTTCAGTTAACTGGGGAAGGACTGACCTGGACACTTCCAGTTTCTTTAATCTTATTCTGATCGATGTATATGACAAATTATGCTTCAATGTACTTAATCCTGACTTCTCAGTAAGGCACACAATCCTGTTTACAATAGTCTTCAATTTACAACAATAACGGAGCTTGAAATGTCTGTTAAATGTCATGATGGCTATATATCAGGGCACCCATACAACCAATCTGATTTTACATTTTTTGTGTGGTTGTTAAATGAACCTACTGTCCACAAATAGACTGTTTTTGCTGAAAATAGTACTGGTTTCTGGCAAAAATAAGTCCCAAATCATTTTTCATGACTGTGGGACACTGCAAACAGCTGTAAATGCAGGTCAGTGGTCTATTGCCCTGAATGTAATTGTGTGACTGAGAGAAGGAGCATCCATCAGAACTTCAAATCTGGGTTGTGAATACCTGTGTGGGGGTCCCTCGTAACTTCGAATGGTCACTAAGCCAGGACTACCAGTAATCAATCAGGTCCATACAATTGTACTAAGCCATAATCCAGGGGTATCCGATCTTGGCAACTTTAAGACTTATGGACTTAACTCCCAGAATTCCCCAGCCAGCATTCTAGGAAGTCCAAAAGCATTAAAGATGCCAAGGTTGGCACCTCTGCCATAAACCAAGGTCTATAAACCTCAATTGGCTGTATTCACATCGTGAGCTAAGCCACGTGCTTCTTCTTTACGAACCGTGGTGAGTTTCTCCAGTGCCAGGATACGTTCCTCCCAGGCGGCTACCGATTTCTGAAAGCCCTCGTGTCGCTTGATCAGGTTTTCAACTTCGTCCACATTGTCACCCAGTTCAGTGGAGCGCACAATTGGCTCCTGGCTGGCAAGCCAAGCTTCTGCCATGCTGGCATCCCGCCCGAACATCAGCACTTCCATAACTGCAAGGGGAGGAAAGAGAGAGGGAATTTAGCCATTTTCTGGATCTTAAACTAGTTTCAGTGCCCCAAACAGCCACCTTTCCTGATGCTTTGTTAAACACTTGACTTTCTGAGGAGCAAGTCGGGCTAGCCTTCCTTCTTAAATGCCATTTAGATCAGCAAATGTCACATGCAAAGAATCAGGATAGTAAGTTAAACTGCTATCAAGAAGATTTATTGCTCATGCCTACAAGTAGTCCTCGACTTATGAACACAAGTGAACTCCAAACTTTCTGTTGGTGAGTTTTGCCCCATTTTACCACCTTTCTTGCCACAATTGTTGCGTGAATCACTGCTGTTGTTAAGTTAATAACATGGTGGTTTAGTGAATCTGGCTTCCCCACTGACTTTGCTTGTTGCAAACGGGGATCGCGTGACCCCAGGACGTTGCAACCGTTATAAATATGAGTCAGTTGCCAAGGGCCTGAACTTTGATCACGCCACCAAGGGGATGGCGCAATGGTCATAAGCGTGAAAAATGGTTCTAAGTCACTTTTTTTCAATGCCACTGTCGCTGTTCTATTGTGTAAGTCAGTCCAATTACTGTATGTCATGGACATGCTGCCCACTGCCATAAGCCTCCCTCCAAACTGCATCAAACCTCTTCCAACCCCCCCCCTTTGTCTTCTCCCCCCCCACATACCTATTTGCAACCAGTCCATTTTCTCTCGCCATTTATCATTGATCTCCTTGCGTCGTTCCTGCAACTGAGATAATTTCTCCACAATCTGAGTCACAAAAAAGTGGGGGAGAAAAAAAAAAGGAAGGAATTTAGCTGGCCAAATGTTTAGCAGAAGGACACCATTCATACCAGTGGTGGGAGCTTCAAGGCAACACTCAAGGATTCTACTGGTTTTCCTTTTGTTAACCTGTGAAACTCACTGTCGCAAGAAGAAAAAGAAACTCATTTGGTTGGATGTCTACAGAGATTCTCGGTCATCCAGGTTCTGGTTGTCCCAAATGTGCTTTTTCAAGAGGCAACTGGACTTTCTGGGTTTTTTCTTTGAAGACATTTCATTTCTCATCCAAGGAGCTTCTTCAGCTCTGACTGGATGGTGGGGAATGGAAGGATTTATATTCCTTGCAGGCAGCTGGTCATTTGCATCCTTTTAGAGCAGGGGTCCCCAACCACTGGTCCGCGGACCGGTACCGGTCCGTGGAACAAGTCCTACCGGGC